CAGAGAGAGATACTACACAGAGGGAATGAGCCATTATAAAAATCCCAATTTTTTTCTTGTTAAGCAGTAAACCCGCGGCCAATAAAATGGGAAAAAAAAAAAAAAAAAAAAGGGGGGGTTTTTTTTTTTTTTTTTTTTCCTTTTTTTGTTCCCCCGACAAAAAATCGCCCCTTTTAATTTTTACTAATTAGCAAATTTACCCCATACTCTGCTCAATACCACGTAAAAGAGGTAGGCATGCGGAGACAGGTAAAACCCTTAATTATCGGCTATATAATATCTTAAAACATAGTGGGAAATCCTTTTTTGAGAAGGGACTGAGTTCAATGGCGTCGCTGTACATTGCCGTTTTTTTATAGCGTTTGACTAATTTTTGCCCTCAAAACATTTCAAACTTTAAGAAAACTACCAGTTATTTTCACTTCTGTTTTACGAACAACCAATACACTGGACATGCAACCTTCTAGAATAATGATGTATGTATGCACTGAAAATATATGGATACATCAATAGTTACGTAAATAGATGTGTTGATTATACCGGTACTTGTACGAAATGTTTATAATTAATGTAGAATATAGATGGTACTTGTTTGTTTCGTTGAAATAATTTGATTTTATGTAGGGGTGATATATGTATTAATATAGTCTCCTTATGTTACAATTCTCGAGTGTGTAGTTTAAAAGACGTAGAAGTAAAGACAATGGTCTTATTTCAATACAATCGATTCTCAAATTTCGCCACCAGTGTCCAAAGAAGGATACAGTGTTTTGTTTGGTTTTTTAATTTTGGTTTATCACAAGGAAGATCTAACAAGTAATCTATGGATAGTGTCTAGAGGATTTACCTTTTTGAGTCAATAATACTTGGTTAGAGAAAAAATAAAACTTTTTTGTTCTGTAAATATATAGTAAAATTAGGTCTCTTCTTGACTTGGAATCATATATATGTTTAGACTAAATCTTTTAAAACCTATTGTATAGCTATCATGTAAGGCTACGAAAATAACGCACATATACGAATGCGTGACATGACGATAATAGACGACATATCTATTCGCACTAGCGAACATCAAGTGATTGTAATCTCTTTAGGGATTTAGTATAGAGGCGAAGTGAAAGTCAAATTAACGTCGCACAATTTGTAAAGTTCTGGTTTCACATTATTTCAGTAAATTGGTGAGAACTAATGTCCTTCGTAAGACGTTTGTGAGTGGTCTGGTTCAGAAAAAATTTGGGGAATTTTATATTTGGTTTGAGATGTGCGTCTATGTGGTGTATTAGTTAGCACTATGTCTGTGGTAAGAAGATAAATGTGCCTATTGGAAGGTTTGCAGAGTAGGCATACGAGTGGAATAATATTAAATGGTGTCGTCGGATGTTATGACGGCTAAACTCAGAACAGACCGACTGAGTGAGTGATACGAGAGTCAAAGTATTGTACAGCATGATGTACTACATAATCAAATTTCAAGAACCAATAACATTATTATATGATTCAACTGCTGAATATTAAATGCTATTTCACTGTAAATGGTGACAAATTTGTAATGATGTTCGCGTTTTCTTAATAATAAACATACTCTATTTATTCGACACTGTATCGAATTCAGCCTGTTGGAGGAGAATTCTACCGGTCGGCTGCACTTATTTGTATCGGTATCCCTGCTTTTTCCAATGAACAGCTCTAGCTTCACCCGTTACTTACACACCCTTACACTCATGTGCACTACACTCAACATGACAGGAGACCAGTGGAGAGCTTAGAGCTTGTTCCGGCTGGGGTGGCGGGGGCCCTCTGGTGACCTCCAACCCCGCAAACTGACTTGGAGGTCGACGTCGTATCTCGCTATCCAGCGGGGAAAGGTCACAGCCATCTGCCGCGATAAAACATACACTACATTTACGGGACTAATGAACTTAGTTGACGCGTCCGGATACACGAAGTAATCAAAGAATCATACAACAAGTCACCAGACTTAAAAAATTGAAAACTTGCCGAAATCCAATCCACCCTACCAGCATTAACAAAATCTTCCCTATTACGTATTTTTCAGACATTTTACTGAATTTGGTAATTCGTATTAGACGCATTATTGGTATTGGTCTCACCCAATTGGCTTCCGATGGAACCTACTTTAGAATTATGAATAAAATGTAGTTAGTATTAAGCAACAAAATACATATATTTGGACAATAAACCTACCAATCTAATTTAATAACAAATTTTAAAAAACACCATAAAACAGCAGACCTAAGATATGATACCTGATATATTGGACTTAGTCCCAAAGTGCATTGTAGAAACCCATTTATCTAATTGGAATTATTCTTGTAAAGTTAAAGCGGCTTGGTTACTTTTTTGAACTCGCTTTGTGAAGAAGAACTCGAACCAATTCCGGAACAGAATTACTGTAATCGAGTTGTATTTTATGAAAGTATGTATTTTCGACTTCATTAACTTCACATTATACAGAACGCAAGCTCTACATGGATCTAAACGAATAACTGTGATTCAAATATTTGCCACATCAGTTTGAACCGAACATGCATTCCGAACTTTAACGTCTTCTCTCCTGAAAGGAATATTTTTGACTGATACTCTTACATCCCTTCACAATCGAAATTGTTTATCTGCTGTAGGCCTTTGGATGCCCCACATGCTGGTTGCGCTCATCCAGTGGTCAGGACTCGGCTGCTCTGTGCTGCTCTGTGCTAGCAGGCCCTGCAGTCTTCCCGAATCGATTGCGAGAGTGTTGGACATTATTAATTAAATTATAATGAATTAGCTTAATCCATGTAAATTAATTTGGAAATAATTACTTACAATTACAAGTAACTGCCAATGCAATTTATTACGAGTGTAGATTGGTGTAATTGTTGACCATTCCAATTACTTACATTTTCAAGCTAAAATTCATACTTTTGGCAGTTTTAGTCTTTGACACAGTGTTATTGAACAGATTTGCGAAGATAATCAAATTAATAACCTAAAAAAAGTTTAACATTCAACCTTTAAGTAAATACACGTGTTCGTTTTGACTGGATTGCAACACAATTATTAGAATGATTTGTTCTACTATGGAATTGAATTAATTGTAATAAAAAAGGAAAATATGTTCACGCACATGTATTTACTTTTGAACTATAAGTAAGAAAGTTGAAAATATATATAATATGAATTCATAACTGCATTTACAAGCTCAATACAAGCGTTTTCAAACTTTCGACCAAAACACTTTTCCTATCAGGCCCTAAATGGATTCGTAGCGGCTAAACTTACGTTCTACTTCTATAGGACATTAGACTGCACCACATAATACGGTATTTTTACGAAATATGTAGTAATTTATATGAAATACGTAGTCATGTATAGGAAATATGTAATACATATGTAGTACAATACACACAATGTTATTTCCGAGGAGAGGGTGAGCACGTGACAAGATACCAGGAGGTCTTTTATAATTGATCTCCTCGGGTGGATCGAATCGAATTCCGAAGGAATTAAGCCAGAGCAGGTAGCATTTCATCAATATGGTCGGAATTCTGCTTTCCTGACAGAGAGGTGTGTTTCACGGGGAGATGCAGGTAGCGCGATAAGACATTGGTCAGTACGGAATGTTTATCAGATATCTATCATTGATTAATTATTTTGTGTTGCCGGCCGTGTCAACCGTTATTGTCATTTGTCCTGTAAGTGTAGTGCATTATATATCTCGCCCACGAGAACGTGAGATCCGGTGTCGAGTTAAAAATCTACTTGCAAGTAAAATTCCCTCTTCAGGTATCTCCGTCAACGTGGCACCACTCCTGCCCGATCAACCTCTAAACTCCCATGCGGTCTCCCGATATATGTCTAAAGTGGTTCATGAACTTGTGTGTAAGTAAGGGTTGAGGTTAGGATAAGGAAAAGGAAGTTAAGATCGCGCGCGGTTCGTGGCCTATTTGTAAAGTTATTGAGCCAGCGTTCACGTGATATTCATCGGAGAAACCAAGGAAAACT